TTTAATCTAAAATCAATGTAAAATAAATATTTTTTAAGGGCTAAAATGACCCGTAAGAGGTTGAGGAGCCCCGCCATTGTTGTAAATAAAATAATATATATATATATATATATATATATTTATATATATATATATTATATATATATTATTATATATATTATATATATATTTTTTATTTGGAAGCTAAAATTTCTAATGAATTCCGGAAATAAAGATGTTCTGCTGCTTAATAGTTGATAACAATATTCTGTACCTACTACTATAGAGTCAAAATATATCAAAGGGGTTATAAAAAATTATATTTCTGATTTTAAAAAGTTGGGTTATTATTGGAAAAATTCCAAACTAATTATTTTGTTACTAATTTACAACAAGAATTATTATTGTTGTTGATTGTAATGTTCAGTATATAATTTTTATCATTTATGATCTAAAATTAAAATTGCTCTTGATAAACCTTCCAGATGAAAATTTTGATCAGATTTGATTTTTTTTTTTAATTATCGATTTGAAACTCTGGTTTTGACATATAATATAAAAAAAAGATTTTTTTTTTCAAGTTCTTATTTATAGATCTGATCGTTAGCTTCAGTTCATTATTCCAAGTTGTAAAATCTCAAAGTCATTCCTATCTATGCCAAGGACTTCTTCTCGTTACGGAATCCTCTCTTTCAAACGACGTAAGTTTCGGTTGTTAATCTGAAAGAATGGTTCTTGAAGTTTCGTTGTAATCAAGTAAGTTTTCTTTGATGTCGAGATGACGCCATTCTTGAGGGAATGACGGTTGTAAAGAATGCAGAGTTTGTACTCGGCTTGCTGAGGCTCTTAGAGACGTGACCTACCAGCAGCCCATTGAACGGTTTGAGAGCTCCTTCATAAATCCACTGGGAGGTGGTTCACGGTTCATTCATGTTAGCTCGGTAAATATTCAGCCATATCCAATAACACATTCAACAGTTTAAAATTGGGAATCATAATCATATTTTCACTACTTCAGAGGAGTCAAAGATTCTTATCAAATTTTAACTTATTTCTGATGATCCGATCGAACTGAAATTCAATAGACATACACGAGCCTTTAAGTTGACAGAATGACAACCTTCAATTTCAACATATTGAGAAAAGTCATTTTAGTGACAGTTCTATTTGGAAAATTGATGATGTCGGTACAGACAGTAAATTGATTCCAGAGTAGGTGATTGCAGTGTTGAAATATACAATATTGAATAAAGGTTTAAATTTTCCAACTAGAATTTTACTAAATTTAATGATCAAAAATGTTGAAATTGGATTTAGTCATTCTGTTAACTGGAAGGCCCATATTTATATATAGCTTTAGCTTATGATCCCATTGAGGGTGGTTGACGAAGGAAAAGTGTTGTATAACACTTCAAGCATTTTCAGGAAAATTGGAACGGTGTTTCTTATAAGCTTCGAACATTTCCATAAGGATGTATTAGCTGATATCTAAAATATCACCGTTATCTACAATACTGGAGCTCTCTGAATACAAGATAGCAAACTACCAATTTGTTTGGTACGACCTCACGTTGGTCTTGTTTTATTCGTATTAATTTCATTTAAAATTTCATACAAATCCATCCGAAATGTCGTTCCCCTCAACATGTTTAAATACCACTAATAAACTCTCAATAATCTATTATTTATGAAACTCGAACAACGATTACTTATTACTAATTAATGATTATTACAATTAAATTTTGAATTTTATAATAGACAGAAACTATATATTACAATTCATAAAATATAATATACGCCCTACTGTAAAAATTACTTTTCATTCATTTCTTCTTAGTGCACGCTAATGGCCGTTGAAATAATTTAGTCACGAGACCACTAATTAATTAAACGAAACGAGGAAAACACGTTGTAAAAGCTACTCAATGAAAACTCCCATTAATTCATAAAAGATTCGAAGTAATAAATAATTTTGAATGGGCGTTGGTTAATTATTGTACGCTGAGGCATATATCAATCAAACCGTGAATGATGAGCGTATCCAGGAGCTGCAAATGACACCTCAATGGCACAGTAGCTGAGTGGCACTACCAAACATGAAGTTCGTTAATAAGTATAATTTTAATAAATTAAGTGATGTTTCATTTTACATGGGTATATTTATTTATAAATAAAAATTACAAAAATAGACATATAATTTCATTTCTTTATGTATTCAAGGTGTTCCGTAAATAGAGGGAAACATTTACAAGGTTGATAGCCTGAGAGATCAATTTCATTCAATCCTTACAAGAGAAGTGCAAAACGCGCCTAAAGAAGTTTTCACTTTACAAATTACTAGAGTAACGCTGTGGGCTTACTAATTGTATTTATTTTGGGTTTTAAGTACATATCACAAATTTAAGAGCCTTAGGTTAAAATTAGACTAATTAGTGGTGAATGTTTTAGGTACCGGAAGATGAAGATGGGAGGTTGGTTGACAGTTTTATATATAGCCAGGAACCAAAATTCGACCTCGTCGCAGGCGAAGGTTTGATTGTAAATTACGAAAGTGTATTTTATTCTGAGTAAGAAAAAACCGTTCCAGGGTACGGCTGATTCAAAGAATATTAGTCCATTGATTTGAGGATGGAAACGGGAAATCCATTGCTAAAAATGTGAAATTTTTTTTTTATTTTTTTAACTTGTATATAGGCTAAAGCGCTCTCGCTCCCAATCCACCGGCTTTAGCACCAGTGAGGCGGTTGAGAGAGTAGCGCAGGGATTTGGGTTCCCCGCCTGATTGTATATATTGCATATAGGTATGAATGTACTTTTATGTTTTTAATTTACTTACATTTAGGTTATTGTATTTTTTTTATTGTATATTGTTTTTATTTATTATTATTTAGTTATTATTTTACTTTTGATAATTTTTTTTTTGTATATACGGTGTGAATGTGTTCATTTATCAATATAATTATTGTCCCCGTGATAGAATATTATATGTCCAAATAAATAAATAAATAAAAAACTTGTATATATGGATTCAGACATGTAAAAAACAAAATTGCTAAGGCGGGCCACCTGATTTTGTCATTGTTTTGTCTTTTCACCTATAAAGCCTAAACGATGCATTAAATCTATTATTTCATTTTAGCATTAATGAAAAATTTAAATCCCTTTCATCAGGTTTTCAATCAAGAATAAGGAAAATAGGACCTCATTGACGCTGCTTTGGTGTTGATACTTTTTTTTTGTGTTTGTGTTTGACTGTTATAATTGACAATAATACAGATATTAAATATTAAAAATATCTCGATATGAAACTATCGAATGAAGCGCGAAAAATTCTTATGAATTGGGTAAGAGCATCTTCATGAGAGGCCCTGGCTTACTGCTGCGCTAATACTATGGTAGTAAGATTAACGAAATATGAATTAATATAGTAAAAATTTATAATTAATTAAACATTAATAACTATATTATGATAATTAATTAATAAAAATGTCATAATGTTGTCAAGAATAAAGTGGTCTGGATACAGGTGGGATGGAAACAACTTCATCATGAAAATTTCAGTTGACAACTTATAACTCCAATTCTAGATATATATTTTTTATTATTTTATTCTATTGATATTAATTATCTAATTAAGATTTTTATTATCCAAGTTCAACAACTAGGCCTATATATAATTCCGTTAAACTGGTCATTATGAACTTTTAGCGAATTAATATAGGAGCAAAACCCTAATAGCCACACGATGAGACAACTTCCCATATTTCATTAAACCCGAGTAAAGTTAGGCCATAACATCATTTCTATTGGCTTAGGCCCAGCACTCATAAGTTGACAGATTAGAGAATTAATTATACACTTTAGGTGGTTTCTTGGAGAACTAGAATACACAAAGTGAACAAAGTTAATAGTTATTGGTTAGGAGAACTGACAAAAAAAGATATGCTTAAATCGAAACGTTTGAACAAGAGAAAGAAAAAAAGAAGAAAGAAAAGGTATTGTAGACAATCAAAACTAGTAGGATAACAATACACCCGATTGAGTCAAAGGAAAGATCCTGAGAAACAGGAATGGACATTCCAATGAGTTATTTAATCATGCCAAAAAAGGAATTAAAATACTCCTAATCAAGATATGTTTCAAATAGATGCCGATAGGATATTACTCACAAAGACATTTAATATCTTGCAGTAGCTAAATCCACATATTCGATAAACGACGAAGCTTTCAAAGTATAAGTGGAAATCAAGAAAATGTAGGAGTAAGAGATATATTTTTGTTTTTAAAAATTTATTTATCGAGTAATATGAACCTTTCAGTTGACAGAATGACTAACTCCAATTTCAACATTTTTTATTATTAATTTTAGTGACGTTTCTAGTGGGAAAATTTATACCTTTATTCACAGCTCTGTATTTCAATCACCTAGTCTGGTACTAAATTGCTCACTGCCTGCATAGATATTATAAATTTTCCAACTAGAAATATCACTAAAATGACATCACTCAAAAATGTTAAAATTGGAATTAGTCATTCTGTCAAACTTGAGGCTCATAGATTGAAGTTGTGTGGTTTATAAAAGCAGATGGAGTAACCAGATTTTCAATGCCTACCGTAGTTAGATATAATAAATAGAATTTTTGTAATTTTAATGGTCTTAATGATTTGTTATCTGTAAGCTATAATCTTTAGCTCCGCTTAAAATTCACTTCGAAAATGTGTAATAGCCCAACAATGCCTTAAAATAATTTTTATTCAAAGTAGAGCTGTTGTAAATATCATGAATAAATAAATTGAAAAATTATGTAGGGAGGGGCCATTATTACATCATCACTGACTTATTAATTATCTTATAATAAGTATTCACAAAAGCGCTATAGATAGTGAAGTCAACATAGCCGTGCGAAAAATAATGAGTATAACTGCGCCTTATCTTTTGTAATATAACAAAGTAATGTTTAAAATAAAATTTTCTAAATATTATTACAATAAATTTACTAAAGGAAGGAAAGCGAACTTACCACACACAGCTAGCTTGACAACGGCATCCACGAGGTTGACTATTATCAGAGATCGCTGGCGCTGCCTGTGGGAGTAGCGCTGATAGGACAGTTCCAAGTGCTTCTCCTTGAAGCTGTTCGTCAGTGAGAGTAAGTACACTCCTTTGTAAACCTTACCCCGTTTGAAAACCTCCGATTCGTCGAAGTCTGCGAACATACCAATCGTTCAGAAAGACTCATTCATTAAATAATATTATAAAATTAAAAAAGTTTAAATAAATATGAGTAAACTAGTATATCCAATAAGATCTTTTACAATTGATATCCATCGTTCTCTCTAATGTTTTCGACTTATAAGGTACATCAATCAAACTTATTTGTTCGTATATATAATATTAGTCAGTAATAGTAGTAATATAATAATGAGCGGTACAGACACGTTTTCGTCAAATTATTATTTTTTAAAATTATTTATTTATTGATTAATATAATATTCTGTCACTTGAACAAAGGTTACAGAGAGGTAAGATCACATTTACACTATAAGTACAAAAAAATACAAACACAAATAAACAGAAGCAATTTCTTTTTTCTATAGCTCGGAGAGAGAGAGTTCACAGTGAGAGGCCTCTGGTTTGGGTCTCGCGGAATGATTCCTAAAAGAACAGGGAGCTTCTTCGAGGAACTAGGTGTTGATGTCGGAGAGCTTGCAGTGTTGGCCGAGGGTATTATTCTGGACTCACTTAGGATCATTCATCATCACATATATGGTAATTACGGGTTGATTATCATTATTTATTTATTTATTGAATTTTAATATTGTTTAAGTGATTATATCTTTTTGTCTGTGTTGTGTGTGCGTTCTAATTTTCTGGTGTTAAAACTTTGGCATTCGAATACTATATATATATATATATTTTTTTTTTTTTAGCACTATAAATTTTAGAAATTATCTTATGTCGGTTTCACCGAAATATGTATATATAATATATTGAATGATTGTAGTTGTATGTATTATTATATTGTAGTATTTATGCTGTTGTATATGAAAAGGAATTTGTATGTCCAAAAACAAGGATTGATGAGTATGCTGTGTGTTGAGCAACGCTATGTAGTAGGGCAGCACTGCTTTAAATAAAGTATTTCTCTCTCTACGCTATGTGCGAAAAATATTTTATTTTTTTTAAAGTTATTTATTCAGAAATGTTATAATCTGTCACAATTAAAGACATTTATAATAGTGTTCAGAGAGCACATACACACTCTATTTACAATAAGTAAAAATAAATAATGCAGAAACTCCGAGCCAAGCCTTTCTCCCCACTAGTGGAAGGAAAGGCAGGACTCTAGGAGATCCCAGCGCCTCGCACTCAATCGCATTATTACTGGTATTAAAAACCAGTAGAGGCTGAGCAGAGGCTGAGCAGAGGCTCTATAATCACACATACTTGAGAAGCAAGCTAACTACTAAATAATAATCAAACAGTACATAAAATAAATAAAGTAAAATAACTTAAAATTAACTAAATAAATAAAAACACATACATACCTATATACACTATCTTCAAATTATTAACATCCGTCTAAAACTTCGTGAATGGCTTCCATTTTATCGTAACTTACAACATTTGCTTTCCACTTGAATCGCGATATTATTTAATCACAAAGTTGAGAAAAAAAAGGTGGCCTACAAAAATATTGGGTCGCTTGGCCTATATGACGTCGTCCACCTTTTATCTCTATTTTGTGATGGAATTATCTTTCAATTCAAGTGGAGAGCCAATAGTAGTTCATGATGTTTTAGTATCTCATTAAATAGACAAAGTTTACCGATCTCCAGATTGAAAACGACCCGTTTCCGAGAAATTTCGTAAATACAAAAGTTGTAAATTACGATAAGATGAAACCAATCATGAAGATTTAGACTGATGTTAATAAGTTGAGAAAAAATAGCCCTCTAATGCCGAGTATATTGAGTGCCTCAGTTCTTAATGGCCGAACTTTAGGAGGTGATTCTAGACAAAATTTCCGACAAAAAAGTCCATATGATGCATCGGCCGATTCCGAACGAAAAGGGGGTTAAGACCAAATTTGTGTTTTTCTCAAGGCTCTTTTTTGTCTTGCTTCTTTTTGTTTTTATTGAATAAGAAGACATTTCTAAAAAACTGTTCTATGTACACCATCGTAAAGTAGTCAATATTTTTTTGAAAAAACATTGATTAAATTTACTATGGCCTATGATCTGAAAATGACTTTCAGCAGGTCTTATAAGTCCGCTGCACAGAGGAACGAATGGCAGACAAATCTAGGTGGTTAGTGAGTCGTTGTAATTACAGAACCCAATAAGTATTACATAGGTACGGAAGTTTGAAAATGAAGTAGGTGGTGGAATAAGACTTGTAATTTTATGAGAGTGGATAAAAGAATGTAGAGTGAGGAGTTCTCTAATGCAGGGAGGAGTTTTTGATCTTAGAACCTGGAAAAGGAAAACACCAAGCAGGAGTTGTCGTCGGGAGGCAGGATTGAGCCATTTCAACTCGGTATACCAGTTTGAAACATGAGAACTCCTAAAACGAAAACAACCATTTTAACATAATATATTTATTAGTTACATTATATGAATTTTTTTTCTTGAACATTTTAATAGGTTGGGAAGTTGGTTGAGCTACAGTCACAGAAAAAAAAAACTATTTTATGCCTACATTTCAGGCCTTCATCAGGGCTACTCGATTGGAAGATGTCGAACGCGTAAATAAAAAAATAATATATAATAAATAAATATATTTTGAAAATAATATTTAAATACCAAGTCCAACGGAATAGATTTAGCATTAATTTTCAAATATATTAGGGCAGCGTTTGCCCTTAGAGACCAACTCTAGCAAGTTCAAAGGACCATGAATGCGTAAAGGTAAGTAGACTAAAACACCCTGCGGATATAAATGGGAATTCTAAAAGGAAACTCTTTATCGATTAATATGTATGATATTAAGGATTTATTTTAATTTTTCAGCAACTTTTATTATTAAATATTTGCCCTATTTTATTTTTTATCTGTCATAATATAATTACACATATATGTACATAGCTAGAAAGAATTTTATTTTATATGAAAATCTGTTCCTCAAAGTCCCCGTTTAATTATTAATTAATTCCGAATGAATGACTTGGTCAAGATCAAATTCCGTTAAAAATGATTTAGTCTCTCTTTCCTTGCTCTTCTACACATTTATGAATTTTCTCTCTTAAACTCCATTATTCCGATAGTTTGCAAAATGGGGCTGCTTCGTCCGAATTAGTCACCTCTCTAAACTAAAAAGTGTAAATGTTATTGTACTTCAAAGGGCCTTAAGAAAGGCTGTAAGAAAGGGCCTTAGGCACTAAGACAATAAAACATCAATCAATCAATCTCCCTTGTTAGCCTCTGACTTTGAACCAGTTTCATTCTTTCAACATTATATAAACCTCTGAGAAGAATTGAAAAGAAATCCTAAGTCAACCACAATCAGGCTTCCGTTTTGGTTAGCGTGCTGAATAACACGACTCTGTAGCACTATTCGGCAACCCGCCCAATCAATTCTCTTGTTAGCCTCTGACTTTGAACCAGTTCCATTCTTTCTACTTTATCTAAACTTCTGGGGAGAATTGAAAAGAACTTCTTAGCCATCCCCAACCGGACTTCCGTTTTGGTTACTTCCAATAATCGGGTCTGCTAAAAATCGTTCAATAACTTAATTCCTCCAAAGACCAACAGAAAATTAGGATCATAGTCCTTTGACTTTTAAAAAGCCTTTGTCTCTACTTATCATGATCTTCTCCAAGCCACATAAACAACACACCCTCATATGGTTGGAGTGGTAATTTGGTTCCATTCCTTCCTGCCTCACTGCTTCCAAACAGTAATTATTTCAAACCAACTTTCCTCAGCCAGTGATGACCTGCAGGGATCATCTCTTTCTCCAACATTACTATCCATCTAGATGAATGACCTAGAATCATCTCTCCTAGAATCATTTGTTTGCAGAGGATACAAATATTCATTTCCTTTCACTCTTCCGACATACTTGAGGCGTTTCAAAACTTGGGCTTCGGAATATAAATGATTCTGAAGTCAACAATAACTAATGTAATTTTCGTATGTTCATGATCCTTAAAATTCTTCCCTCCCATCTGTTATTATACTTCAGGATATCCCTATTCGATTAAAAAATCTGTTTTATCATACCTAAACTGGAATAAATAAATTTTCCAAATCATCCGAAAATCTACCTCAATCGTTAAACAGCTCATACGATTTCATAATTCATATCCTCCATAATTCACAAAATCTAGTTCCCTCCTTCATTCTCTTCTACGTTTCATAAGATTTATAATTCGTGTTTCTGGACGCTTTCAGGTCTCTCATTCCGAGCAAGAATGGCTATATCCTATAATGACAATACTTTCTTAGTGTCTTCCTGAGCCGATACATGAGAACGAAAAGCTATTTTCTTGTCTTATATTTTATCAATAAACCGCGTATATCTAAGACTCAAAAATATGAACGATGGAAATCATAATCGATTATGTTATGGAACATGTCCTAAAAGTACCCTTGACGTTCAAGATGATATAACAAGGAGAGCATGCAACATAACATGACTCGAAAAATTTCAAACTTAATGGGTTACTAGAATTCCATATATATATATATATATATATATATATATATATATATATATATATATCTTTTTTTTTTTTTTATAACTATTTTTTAATAAAAACTAAAATGTTTTTCTAAACTAAAAAGTCTTACTCCAATCTGAAAGTCATCAGCAGAACTATTATGCAATCTTAAGTTATTTATGGAAGCGAGTCGTTTAAGAAAGAAACACCGTACAAGGTTATCGATTACGTAAATGTTTAGTTCAACTAAATGTTAATATATATTAAAGAATATTAGTAAATAGGTCCAACATCACGGATTTTAAAATATAACATCTTAACAAATTCTAATGTGACATTACGCGAAGGAAGAACTTTATTGTTTGTTACCACAGATTAGAGAAGAGTTGATCCTATAGAATCTATTATAATTTAATTTGCATTCTATTTTCACACATATTAAATGCTCCAAAATGTTAGGAATACAATGCATAACTAATTATTTTTTATTATATGAAAGTATGACTGGGTTTTGTATAAGAATATTGTTTTTATATTTGTAT